CGAAAAAGCCGTATCCGTCTGGACGCGAGGCCGATATGATAAAGTATTTATGCGGATTCAACAAAAATGTACTCCTGTGGACGGGCCCTAAGTTTTTAAATAAAAGTCGCTATAATTAGTTATTTGTTAATATTGACACATTTTGCTCTGATGATACTACTATTCATAAAAATGACCACATACCCGATTCAGCTGATAATCATATACTGAATATTATGTATTAATAAATCTAAAATCTGTATAAAATGTAAACTATACCTTTGTACTGCTAATTATCAGAAAATGTTGTTTAGTGGGGATGTAGCAATATAATTAATTAATGGTAGAATAAAACAAAATGGGTCGCTATATATATATAGCGGCCATGACTTCCAAACGGCACAAATTTTTGTTTGCAAACATTAAATGTCAGAGGTAGCATTTAAATGTCATCCACTGTGAACTGTCAGAGGTTTCAACTGCTGTTTGACAAGCTTATGGCCTTCAAAATGTCCCACTACAAAAATCTAAACTCAGTTTGTGTGAAGATGGTTCAAATTGTTTAAATGTGGACATTTGGCCAACTGAGTGGTGTGGAGACCTCCAATCCAATTCAGAAATTTGCTTTTTCTTTATCTTTATGAGGACATTCTTCTCCAGACATGTTTTAGTGTTTTATAAAGTGCTGCAACTGTGCAGCAACTGTGCTGTTTATGTGTTTCATTCCATAATGGAAGCACAATGACACCTGACTGCAAAATGTTCCTCTGAGCGACAGTGTACTGCATGCACATCCAATTGTAGAAAAAGGTGGCCACACACTGCGTTGATGCTCCCCTCAAAAATGTAAAAGCACAGCAAAGACTTTTAAAAGACAAACACTCTTACGCTCCTTCCAAAACTGCTAATCTATTCTACTATCACGGATGCCAAGTATGTATTTAAGTATATTGTTTTGGACCGCTGCTTGAACAAGGAGGATATCATTATTAGCCATCTACAGTTTTTAGAGATCAAACCTGATCCAAGAGAGTGAAAAAAAACAACCAGAGAACCAGAAAACCCTGGCTCAGACTCAGAACAGCTCTAACTGCGTACTTTAGAGATTTACTGAATTAATTTGTACATCTATTAATGTTACATCTCATCCCTAATTGATTCGATTTTTATATAAGAAAATAAACCATGACATTACATCATGGCTGCGGTTCAGAAAAAATGGTTTTGGATATAAACAGGAGTATTATTACCAACATTATATATATATATATATATATATATATTGCAGCACATACCCCTGTCAGAACTCACTATAATGATTTTTCTAATGGCCTCTGGTGTGCACTATGTGACAGTAAGTGTACTGATGCTGTGCAGGCTTTCTGCAGTTGTTCCTCTCTGTAGTCTCTGCTACGTTAATCCCTCCCTACATGTATGTTCAATGATTTATGGTCATAATAACCCAAAAAGAGGATTAAGCTAATTAAACCACAGTGCTGCGCTTGTAGTGAACACATCGGGAGGGAATACTCCGCCCCCACATTTATACCACACACACTCACACACACACACAGCGAGGAATCTGCAGTGTCTTCGGGGTGTTTTTTTTTTTCAGTGAATGATTCTGCCTTTAAAAGCTCATTGATGGTTAGCATGACCCGACTGTAGAATCATCAGAAGATTAAAGATACTGTAGCTAGCGGCCATGCTACCAGAAAGCTAGCTGCTCTATTCTGGATTAGCTATAATAAAGCTACAGCTGTGGGTTCCCCCGGCTATGCTAGGTGCTGCCCTGGAATGTAATGCTATACTTAAAGCCATGCGATGGTCGCTGGGATCATATAAGCCTGTAACACGCTGGATTAATGATGCCAAGGTTCCTGGTATTAATACAGTGGAGGTCTGCAGGCGATGCACTGTAATCCTGGTGGATACCAAGGAAACTGCTAACAGTGGATGATGACAACTGGAGGCTATGAACCACTCCAGATACTGTAAATGATGCGGTGGTTACAGCTAAAGTTGAATAATGCTAGCTTCAGGTGGTACCAGTCTGCACAGGCTTCATGCTGCAGATAAGTCAAGTGTTCAGCCTCAGTTACGGTTAAGAGATGTCCAATCCACAAGACCTGAAGACAGATGAATGGATCTCTAAGAATATACAGATTTGTGTTACGTTGGTTTCTGTCACTTTAAAAACGGGGGAAGTAGCTAAAACACAACCTCCAGTATGAATATTAACTGAATACAACAATTCATAAAGTTTCCATTCTATGTTATTTTGTATATTTTTTGTGATTTTACTTACTTAATGTGTCTTTGGTTTCCACCTAAATGACTTTTAAAGTCATGTTCAGACAGACAACAGCACTGGCCCTTCGTTAATTTCAATCAGAATATTGTATTGACACAGTGGGGGTGCTGACACAGCAGACTCCGGCAAAGAAAGGACGTTCACCTAGCAATAAAGCTCTAATGTGGTTCAACTCTTGCCGTAATACAAGGTGATTACAGATTACTTTGTAAAGTGAATGCCATATTTTTATTATTTACCTGCCCATCATTGCGACTACTTAGATAGTGATTGTCTTTGTGATAACTTTCCAGAGCTATAAAATCCCTCCTTGTAGTATTATAAGCCGCTGTGTAGTGGTTTGATGTCTGATTAGCCTTCAAAGTCATGGATCTGTTTCTCAACAATACCTCACCAGTACCTGAAACAATAACATCCTTACTAGCACAGCTCTTTGCATTTTTATTTTTAAATGCAGGCCTGCTTTTCATTTTATTTTGACTGGTTTGCTGGTAAAATCTGCTAAAAGTTTCCAGTTCCTCTTACTGTATGTCAAACAAGAGACACACTGTACAAACTTTTGATTGTGAAATTGATTAAAAGGTTTTGCTTCCATGTGTTATGAACGATAACTCCTTTAGAAAAATATAACAGGCTGTTCTTAATTGATTAAACTTCTTACCATGATGGATGTTAACTTTCTGGCTGAGTTCAGGTTTTTTTGATGCGTTTATATTCGAGCAAATCAAGGATTCATCATAATCAGCATCAGTCACAATCCATCTTCACTCATGTGTGTCCTTCATCAACCCAAAGCCCGTCTCCATGTGCTAATACTCTGGAAAGCTCACAGCAAACAGCCCCTGGACACATTAGCCTGGTGTGTGTTCTGTCTGAGGGTCACTGAGAGGGCAGCTGTCGTTAGCAGCTAAAGCTGCACGTCAGACCCGGTTGGACGCGGCTGAATTCGCAGTGTCATTTACTACCAGTCTATCAATCATCAGGCAATTACTGAGGCCGGGCCTTTTGGCACTGAACTGGTATTAGGACTCATGAGGGAATGAATACATGTAGAGGATCATCTGAGAAGCAGAAGAATAAGAGTAGAGGTCTTAATCTCTTTTAAAAAACTGAAAAATCTGATGTTTTCTTTGCAGATTTCTCCAGAAACTCCCACAAGGTGAGGTCTCTGTTGGGAAGCCTTACTAAAAGCTCCAGTTTTAAGCACATTATTGAAGTTACTACATCTTGTATAACAACAGTACTGGTAATTGTATTAGGACAGTGACACATTTTTTGTTACGTGGTTTCTGAACCGTGCACATTGTTTTTGAAATGGATCATAGAGAATGAGGTAAAAATATGTTTTAACAAAAGTGTTTTAACAGTGCTGGACTTGCAGTTACTTCAATATAGTTCCCTAATCTTAGGAGACAGTTGAAAAGTTGTATAAACTTGATTCATTCTTAATTTTCAATATTTGATGCCTAATCTGAAATCTCACAGACATCATCAGACACTTCAGCCTGTACTACAGCCTGCTTGAATGTCCTAGTAGGTTTCTTGCATATTCATGCATGGGTCACCACCATGGTATTTGTTTTGACTAGTAAAACAAAAGCACAAGATCTCATGTTGCTAATTTATTTAAAAGGGCCCCATGTACACGGGTTGTGAGTCCTACAGTGTTCATCCAATTTCAATGTGAATACCCTACAATTATAGCCGCAGTCAGCTCCGTAACCTCATAATCACTGTTTCGTAGTGTGAGTGTTGGAGTACAGAGCGGAAATAATTCAAAATTTTAGCATCTTAACATGAGAATAAATGTGTTGAAGGTAATTGTAATGAAGGTCTTACCTGTGTGAGTCCTCTGATGTGCCTTCAGATGGGAGCTCTTGGTGTAAACCTTCCTGCAGCCATTAAACTGGCACCGGTGGACTCTCTTTTTGTTCTCTGGTACGTCTCCTCCCAGACTTCCTCCTCCTCCCTGCTCACCGTCACTGAGGGATCCTCCTCGGCTTGGCGGTGACGGTAATGCTCGTGCTGCCACCAGTTTAGCCGCTCCTAACCCTACTTTCTTCGCCACAAGTTTGAGCGTTAGCGTGCCATCTGCTGTCGCAGTCAGTGTTTGTGTAGGTTTGATCAGGTGGCGGCCGAGCTCTGGTGACGATGGCGGTGTTAGGGATGTAACAGCGGCGCTAAGCTGTGCGGCACTGACTCCTGCAAGGACTTGGTCCTTTGGTGTGAGGGTTTCAGTCCCCGCCTGTGCTTGGGTCTTGCTGGTGTTGGGCACCTGGAGGATTTTGGTCTGGACCTTGGGGAGGGTTACCAGTAATGGAAGCGGGCTGGGCTGGTCAGGGAGGCTGGGAAGGAGGGGGTCCATCAGGTCCTCATCACTGTCACCACCCTGCATAAAGGCTGGCGTTAAGAGACAGTCCAGCTCCTCATCAAAGAGCTCTGAGAGTCGCTTGGGCTCCGTCTGCAGATACCGCTCCAACTCTAGACATGTCTGCAAGAAAAGAAAGCACATGGACCCAGGGTCAGACATAAATATACTTTACACTTGATGGACACCATCTATATGTGTGTGATGCTGGGCCACTGTAAGCTTTAACACAACTCTCACATACAGTACATGTTAGTCACCATGAACGTTTCATTCATACTTCAGCAAACATAGCTCATTGATACAACTCATGTCAATTTACATAACCCCATATAACACCAGCTATATGGCAACCGGTTGACTAGTAAAATACAATCATTTACAGTTTACAGGATGGGCTTTATAACCGGACAGGTCTTGCTGTCATCTGCTGATACCTTCATGCCAACACCATTTACTGCTGCTGAGACTCCCATCACCTCCTCAAACTCATCATGAGTGGAAGTTTTTGGCAATCTCTGAACTCAGCACACTATAATTCTGTATGCTGAAATGAATATGTTGCAGGATTTGTTGTTGTTGCTCAGTGTTTGAGAGCTCACTCCAAGAGCACTTTGCATAAATGGTCACTTCCCTCATGGGAAACAGTAATCAATCATTAACTCATAACAAAAATAGGATCTGACTTTACACTGTGCTATACACAACAACCCTCTATCTTTCTTCTCTAAGTGACTTTGCATGACTGTCACCAAATGTGGGTGTTGGTGCAAAGCTTGCGTCTCAAAAACTGAATTCCTAAATAAGAAAATAAGTTGTTTTTGGTGCCTTAAAATGTGACTCATATGACCATTTAAAAAATGACTCGTATGACCATTTTCTGATTTGTCCCCTCTATGGTTAACGTCTGGAAAAGTTTATGAGAAAAATGTAAACAGGTTGATTTAAATGTATGAACAAATGTAAGAAGAGTCTTAGATTGTATTAGACTGTAGACTTTACCAAGACCCTGTTTACCAGTCTATATGAATTCAAATACGCACTGTAGGCTCTATATTTCTGCAGCTGTTGACCATGTCACCTGGCACACAGCAGTCCTGAGAGAAGAGAGATTTAGTCTGTGATTGATTGTCGCTGCCTGGCCGAGCTCTCCGGAGCCCTGAACTGTGGAAGCCTTGCCTGTTTCCCCCTGCTCACCCAAATCAACCAGCCATGGAAGTTACATCGCAAGATAGAGAAAGGAAAGAGAGCAAGATGACGGGGTAAAGTCAAACAGAGAAACAAAGGAGAAGGAAAGGAGATAAGGAGAGACAAACATGGAAAAATATTCCATGAGTATTCCTATAATTCTTTATTCAACCTTTATCCAGAGATATCCTGAGTTTTTTCCAGCATATATACACTTCCATGTTTTGGCAACAGAGCAGCATCACTACAGTGTATGGTCCGCTGGCCCTCTGTGCCTTGGTCAAGGGCACCTGCCAAATCACCTCAAGAGGTTTGAGCCAGAAACCTTTAGGTCACTAACCTAGTTTTCTAACCTAAAGGCTTCACCTCTCCTCTCTAAACTTTTCTGCAATCCCTGCCTCTTCTTACCTACAAACTACCAACTGTACTTTTGAGGTCTACACGGGACGGTTACGTCACTCCGGTTCCTGCTTTGATCTTTCACTCCTGCAGCGCTTGTTTTTCTGTCTGTCTCATTCCACAGGGCAAATAAGACACATGTAGCTGTTGCTTTCAAAAGATCTTAAAATCAAGGGGAATCCTTCAACCCAATGCTGGAGAAAACTAATCCTTTCATAACGTTTGTGTATTTCTGATGTCTGTCTTAAGAAAGAGGAAGAGACATCAGGCCAGTCCATAGCTCGGTAACTGTCCACTCAGCACTTTCTTTGCAAGCTACCTGGCTCCGGCACTGTCCTGCAGCACAGTGCCTTTACTGTATCTACTTGGAAAATGAATTTCCTCTGTTTGGCCGAGAGCCTTTGGCAGCTGAAGGTTCTCATCCTGATCCTCCTCTGGCTCTTTCCACCTCTGCCATCGGAGAAAATTACAGCCACTATAGAAATGTTTTTTTCTTAGCTGCAGCTGGTTGACTCGGTCCATTCAGACAGGCCAGCGCTGGAGCTTTGCTCTGCTCAGCCTTGGTGACGAGACAGACAAACCAACACATTTAGTCTGAACATCTGTTGAGTGGTGATAAGCTCAACTTCCCTCTCTCTCCTTTTCTCCCTTTCTTCTTCCCTTTAAAAGAATGTCTTTTTTCCTAAGGATGCTCATCTGCATATGAATATAAATCAAAGATATCTCTTCGGGGGTTTACACTGCTTCATAAGGAAACTTAAAAAGAGAAGCATGTATGTACAGAAGCACAGATGACGCCCAGTAACAATGTCTTTTGCAAAGCTGATACGAGTGCTTTGAGGAAAACCTTCTGGTTAGCCTTTTGTCCAGATTGTTGCTATGATTTGTCAGCACCGGTATTTCTGTCAGTAATTGCTGTGTGTAATGCAATATCTAGTCAAGCATGCTAAAGGAGGCTATTATATCTCTGTTTAAATTAGATCAGTCATTGCTAATGCATCTAGAAACCAATACTGGAGATTATCAAACAGACATCAGGTTATCCAGAGTGGAACTTAAACAGCCAAGTGCTTTATTAGATGTGTGTACACATAAATGTGTGTGTATAATATAAACATAAAATGATATAATATGATTGGCTTTTTAGTTCAGTTGCTGAGATCTGGGGCTTACAACAGAATCAATTTCTGAGAGGCATTGCACACCCAACCAATAATGGTTTAATTCAAATAACAATCCTAAAGGTAATACAGTGAATGTTATTCCAATCACCTCAAAAAATAATTGTGTAATGTTGAACCAAGAAATATATCCCCAGGAAATAAGGATCATTATGTTAGAATAAAGTCTATTTCCCCTCCCAGTCAGTGGTTTAGAGGATATCATGTTTACAGAAAGCAGCAGGTGTCCACTGTTGTAAATCAGTGTACCAGATATATAAATCTGCATGTAACCATAGCAACAATATTTAAGCATGGACACTCATTCTTGGGAACATGTATGTGATAAAAAAAAAAATCTTATAATTTATCACAGCAACACTCCTTGAAGGTGTGTTAACAGATGATATCATTCTTTTCCCGTGGTAGATGGATATGACATGAATCTGAAAATCGAAAATGTCTGTTATTTGTATTATTGCTTAGTCACAAATGTATACCCATACAACCAGGCTTGTAACAATGTGGAATTTTATATAGTGTTGTACCACTGTTTTCTACAGAGCCCTTGAAGGGATATAAAGGAAAATGTTTTTGATGGGAGGAAAACTTTCTTCACATAAATTCAAATATAAAGTGAAAGTACATGCGGGTCAATGTAGGCTACATCAAGGTAACATAAACACATCAGGGTATTTTATTTGTGATTTGTACACTTACACAGCTACAGATTCAAGATGTAATGGTCACAAAGACGACTTTGATATATAATTTATGCAGTTTTTCTGGTCCATTTATGTTACTGGAGATTTTATCCTGAAGGATTCGGGCAGTTGCAGCTAAATATTTCTGGAGATAAAAGGGAAGCTCTGAAAGAAAACATAAAATAAGATCTTCTTTTTTATATCTAAAATATATGTCTCCTTATCCTTCCCAGGGCTTTGTAGAATTATATTTTAGCCACTGCACTATATGTGTTATATACATTATTCATCGTCCTCAGACACAACTACAGCACCATGAATATTAGTTCTCTTTGATACAGTAAATACAGTCTCTGTTAGAGATTTCTGACGGCATTCTGTATCTTTGTTTTCACTTGGACTAGAAATCAAAAATAGAAAGGTCTGTGTGTCTCCTGGCGGGGGCTGGACTGATGCTGTGGATTGTGGGAGGTGGGCGGGGAGGACAGAGGGTAGAGAGAGCCCGCGGCTGTGGAAGAGGAGCGAGCAGCAATCAAACCCACGGCTGGCAGTGAACGCACCGCCTCTGACATCACACGTATGACCTTCTCCTTCGTCTGTTTCTCCTACACACCATGAATTTCAGGTAACAATGACATGAATGGCCTCCAGCGTGTGTGTGTGTGTGTGTGTGTCAGTGACTGCTGGCTAACAGCTCAGACTGATAGCATGTGTAGGGCTCACCTCCTGTGCCCCTGCTCAGTCCCACACCATATGGAGAAAGGTCACATCGAGACACACACACTAAGACACACACACAGCCAGTAACGCTCCTTTTCATTTTTCACATATAAAATGTTTTTTGACCAACTGTTGGAGCATTTCAAGCTGATACTCTGCCGGCTGAATCATCAGTACAAACAATGAGACACTGAGCTGAAGAAAATCTGCTTCACTGACGAAAAGTCAAAGACACAACAGACAGTGAACATAACAGTTTTAGCACAGGAGTCAACTAGAGTCCAGGAGACTGCTGCAGAAACAAACATTAAACCAGAGAGCTTGAGTTGTTGGCAGCTAATGGTGGGCTGAAGTTAGAGGTAAATAAATAAACAAATAATGCTGCATTCACGTCATCTTTGGCAGAATTGGATGAACTGAAGTGTCTGTGCTTTATTCCAGGATGATTACCCATACTGCTCGTCCTGCAGTCACTCCAGATGAATGGACATTATTAGCTTTTTTTAAATCAAGTTAAATTTTTTCACTAACAAGTAAACCCACAAAAAACTGCATATAGCTCATTTCTGATTAGTTGAATCGACTGCATTAGTGCTAATATTGGATTTCATGTGGATGTAACTGTCAGTGTTAGTGGCTTTGCAGCCATTTGGCCACCAGTTTGTTGACACTTCTGTAGTCGTTTTCAACAACTGAGAGATCTGAGAGCCACCAGAAATTCCTAATTTCACCTACTCACAATTATAATAGGCTGTGAACGTGGCATAAGGTGCAGTGTTTTGTTCTGTGTTCTGAATATGAACTGATTTCACAGGCTGGCAGATTCTCTGGCAGTAGCCACTAAGGCTCATGGGTACTGTAGTGTTACTACATATAGTATCTAATATAGAAAACTCCAAGGCAATATAACTCTAATTTCCAGTGTGTGCCTATTTGCTATAGCTCTAGTAGC